TGTCTTAGCCGTTATGCCAACGAGATTTTCGTCGTATCGTCAGAGATATCTTGTCGTTTAAAGGCTGCACAACAAAAATACGAATATATTCAGGCCATACGCACGATATTGGAAGAACGACCATACAACGACTTTAAAGTGAAGGGAGGAATTTTGTTCAAGTTTGCCAAAGGAAGGAAGGATTTGCTTGTTGTACCTAAAATAATGAAACGTGAAATTATAAGCGAAGCTCATGGAGTCGGACATTATGCAAGTCAGAAGACCATACATTTTATACAACAGCAGTTTTGGATTCCACATCTAGAGAACAAGGTCACAAGACTTAGCAGCGCGTGTATTCCGTATATTATTGCCAACAAGAAGCTGGGGAGACAGGATGGACTTTTATGCTGCATTGAGAAAAGTGACAAGCCGTTACATACTTTTCATGCTGATCACTTGGGACCGATGGACTCTTCTTTGAAACAGTATAAGTACCTATTCGTTGTACTTGTTGACTGATTTTCAAAATTTGTGTGGATTTTTACAACAAAGTCAACAGGAGCTGACGAAGTTTTGAAAAAAATGGAAGAATGGTCAAACGTCTTTGGGAATCCGAGCAGAATAATAACAGACAGAGGAGTTGCGTTTACCTCAGGTGCATTTCGAGATTACGCCAATGGTTTCGAGCATGTCTTAACAACAACTGGTGTTGCCAGAGGAAATGGGCAGGTGGAGAGAATAAATAGGTCTATCTTATCCATTATATTTAAACTGTCGACCGAAGATTTTTCATAGTGGTATAAGTTCACTTCACAGGTGCAAAGAGCTATCAATTCCCATACAAGTTGATCTACAAATAAATCACCTTTTGAGATAATGTTTGGAGTAAAAATGCAAAATAAATCCAGTGACAGACTATTGGAACTTTTGGAGAATGAAATGTTTAAAGAATTTGACAAAGGGAGGCAAATTGTGCGACAGACGGCTAAGGAGCAAATACAAAAGGCTCAAGATATGTATAAAAAACAGTATGATAAAAAACGCAAAGGAGAAGTCATATACAAAGAAGGTGATCTGGTTGCAGTAAAGAAGTTGGCAAGCGCTTTTCTATGACCATATGAAGTAACAAAAGCAAAACGCTATGGCAGATATGAAGCTCGAAAAGCTGTCCAAGGAGAAGGCCCCAATGAAACGCATTCGACTGCTGATAATATGAAGCTATGGAATTATGCTGAAAACAATGAAGATGACTTATCGTCTGGGACAGATGATGTTGAGCAGGATTGCCGAGTGTAAACCGTGATGGTACAGGTGGCAACGCTGCAGTCAACTGCAGGACAATTGGTAAGAGTGATCGAGCAAAAATAAGTTGGCAAGTGTGATCAAGGAGGGAGAAGAACAGGTGAAGCGTCGCTTTATAAAAAAACATTAAAATATAAACTTTTTAATAAATATTACATATATATATGGCGATTTTGAAAAACAACAACAAAGAAAGCGCAAAAACTTGGTATTGAAGCGACTTTCAGTTTTATCAGGACAACGACCCAAAACATACGACGCTTGATGTAAGAAGTTGGTTGTTGTATAACTGCCAAAAGTTATCAAGAGTCCTTAATGTATTTCAGCATTTATTTGACGAATTAGCACGCAGGATGCAGAACAGGATGTGCACATCGAAGGACCAGGTGAAGAATGCATTACAAGAGGAGTGGAACAAAATTAGTCCGAATGTATGCAAAAATCTGGTTAAATCAATGCAAAGAAGACTACAAGCAGTAGAAAATCAAAAGGGTGGTGCGACAAAATACTAAAAATAATTTATTTGCTTGTAAACTTTTAAATATTCTTATTTTTTATGTCTTGCTTTCAAAGTGAGTCGAAAAAGTAGTCTTAGCGCAGTTTTTGTTTCATGCAGTTAATTTTACGTTGCTTTGGATATATATTTTTATTGTTTTCTAAGTGTAGGACTTTTTGTAATAAAATAAAAAAATATTGAGTTTAATATCTTTTTTCATTACAAATTTATTATAAGTAGAAATTTTGCTTAGTTCTTGCCCGACTTTCAATGTGTGTGACTGTATGTAAACAGAGAGTGAAGGCACCGGTACTGCCTGCGATATTTTATGTGAAGTGATAACTGAAACTTTTTCTTTACAATTGTTTAAAAGCTTTCTTAAATTTTTTTTGGCAAGTATTGTTTGATTAACAATTTATGTTTGTAAGCACTTATCAAATAAAAAAGTTTTTCATACAAGAACTTGATTTTGACCGGTCAGTTTGAATGGCAGCTATACGTAATCCGATGTAATATGTAGCGTTACTTTAAGCAAAAATCTCTCAAAATTTACGTGAAGAAAATTTGTCAAGAAAAAACATTTTCCTTACAAAGATTTGGTTTTGATCGATCAGTTTGTATGACACCTATATGCTATAGTGGTCCATGGTCAGATTCTTGGGGGGAAAAAGACGTGTACAGATCGATATCTCAAAAAGGGGCATTTCGCGTATATACCGACAGACGGGCAAACAGGCGAACACGGCTTAGTCGACTCGGCTTGTCACGCTGATCCTTTATATGTATACTTTATAGAGTCCCCGACGTTTTCTTTTAGATGTTACAAACTTCGTAGCACCCCTATTCAGGGTATAAAAATGTAATCCACTCGAAGTAAGAGACCTACGGAGAAACTACCTATTCTATTGACGGTTTAGAAGGGACTTAAAATAATAAAAATAAATAACTTGTCGATATCAAGACGATAGCTATTATTCGAAGGATCCAGAAAATATTTCCATGATATGTGATGTAATTGCATTGCAATACTTTTTTCGGAGTTAGTATTTTTGACAGCTGTTACTTGGTTTATACTCAGTTTAGTTTGTCATTTCATAAAGAATAGACTTACTACAGAACAACGTTTATTCGGTTCGAGCGAGGCATCGCGCGATGCGTCCAATTATTGGTTGGCAAATCGCTCGGCAAAGTCGGTAATTATAGCAACCATGGATCGATTTCGCACCACGTTTACTCTAGTGGATAATGCGCATACTCAGAGATGCCGTACAGTACTCACTAAAAAAGAAGATTTTGCTGCTGTAGAGCAGATTATAGAAAAAGAGCCGAATGAGTCCGTCCGCCATCGCGGACAACAATTGGAGCTTTGCCTATCCACTTTATGGAAGATTTTGCGGAAGGATCTTAGTTTGCGGGCTTACAAAATTGAACTCGTACAAGATTTTAAGCCGAACGAAGATTAAGATCTTATAAAAACAAAGATCAAAAATGGTTTGTGCTTCCGGGTCATACCATGATGCCAGTAAATTCGGTACATAGTACAATTGATTCATTTGTGTGCAATCAAACTATTGGAGCTAAAAATTAATGGCTTACAATTATACACAATGCCCACACCAATCCACTGAACTGTGAACTGATACTGAGCTGAAATATTATATAAAAGTTCTTTATGCAATTCAACAAAAAAACTTAATGGCCTAAAAAGCTTTGCATCAAAAAAAAGTATCCCAAATTAATAGCATGTGAAGTACGTAAATTTAAAAAATTCAATACATATAATAGATCTTTTAAATGAATGCAATGACGAATAATTTTTAAATTTATCATTATCACTATTAATTCATGAATAAAATAAAAAAAATTACTATATAAAACCAATAAACCTTATAAATATCTTTCTTTTATAAGCAAAATCAACATTTTACTCACATTTATCTGTTATCTTAGTGCCAAAGTTAATCACCATATGCTCAAAACTTTGCACACGAATTTATCGTATGTGCCATTAAATGACAATATTTACAAAAATAGGCAGAATTCCGAGTAAAATTTTGGCTGGTATATTCGTTGGTTCACTACTGTTAAAAGTTGTATGAAATTTAGAAGCAATGTCCCAAGCCAAATTGGAAAAAACAAAAAAACGCTCTTCTGTAAAATTTGATTTTTGTAACATACAAGAATTTCGCAAAAAGAGACGATATGGTTTTATTTCTTCTTGAAAACCACTTGTCTAAAAAAAATCCTTTAGTAAGTTATTCTCCAAAAATTTTAATCGAATTTTTTACAGCATCTCTCCCTAAATTAAGGTTTGTTTTGTCGAAAAGGTACCACTTCCGAATATTTAAATTAATGGACCACACAACACTTTTCTAAGTGAATTGAAATATGATATTTTTTGTAGCTTTTTACGGTTAGAGTAACAGTACTTCAGCTAAAGGTGGAAATTATGCTTACATTTGCCACAAACGCCTTGTGAAAGGCTAGACATGTTTACCGTTGCCTGTTCTTGCAGTGAAAAGTTGCACTAATGCATACGGAGATACAAAAATGAAAATGAAATGAGCCAGCATATGAAATATTTCGCAGGCAAAAAATGCAAAATCACAAATTCTTCCCCCCAAGCATGAACATGACCGTTTGACCTAATTCTACACGCTTTGAGTAATGAGCGCAACGAATTTGAATACACAGCGACGAGGAGCACTGGCAGAGGTACACAAACTTTGCCACCTAACTAGCTACCACGTTGCATGATGAACACATGCAAAAGTTGTACGCACACACACCCAGTCATACATAGCTCTTTGCTCATATGTAGATTGTGTAAGTGGTATGTGTGGGGCATATCAGCAAATAATAAACCATTTGAGGCGCGCAGAATCGCCTCGAGTGCGGCAGCTGCTGCACTCAGGCAGATACAAAATAAATACAATTAAATAAAATTCGGAACTCAAATGGCAAATTCCGACTAAACGTCGAAAAGTATGCAACACACGTGGTGTCCATACGTACACACACGCGTACTTATGCAACTATGTGGGCAATGCAATTTTGCAGAACATTAATTTCTACGCACACATACACACACGCACACACACATTAATTTATAAATTCTAATGATTTTTTTTTATTCACTTGCCTTCTCTGGTGTGTATTTAAGACTCGTATATAAAGCTATATGTGTAATTGTGTGTGCATGTGAAGCGAGAGTACTCACCAGTAACACGAGACGTATGAGCAATCCGAAATTTTCGGGAACAACAAATCTGTGGTCATCTTGAGACGACGATGTGGACGTCGAGTACGATGCGGTGGATGATGTCAGGCGTTGTTGAACGAGTTCTCGCTATCGGTCGATTATGTTGCTCTTGTTTATTTGTTGTAGTGGTTGTTTGGGTGCTGGCGAACGCAGTAGGTCAGCCACCGACCGAATTGTGGTTTGCGACGGCTATAACGGTATATTGCAGACGTGCGTATGCTACGATATTGAATGCGTTGCAGTTTATACCGTTTATCTGGCTCGTTTCATTTGGTTGAACACCGTTTTTATTTATTCATGTATTTTAATTTTTTCTTTATTTCACACACTTTTCTACGTGTTCGATAAGCAACAGACAGCAATTTCAGAATTAACTTACTTCAAAACTAATTTACACAATTTGAAAATTCGTAAATGCGTTATAAAGAAGGCCGAACAACTTTCCAGTTTCACCACAACTTTATGCGCTTGCACCGGCACCGGCTAATTGGCAACTGTCGAAGAACGGCTCGCCACGGGACCTTGTTGGCTACACAGCGTCTATAGATGGTAGTTCAAAGCGGGGTCGATAGTGTTGGGATTCTTTCCCATACACACACACACAAACACAATTTGTTTGGTGAAACAAGCAACCGAAACACATCAGATTTTAAACTGTATTTACACACATATACCGTATTATATGTTTGTAAGTTTATATGTATATGAAAGTGGGTGTATTTGTACAATGCAGTGCAGTATATGGCTTAGTACAACGTCGACTAGCGACTACACAACAGTCACTGTCAAATGTGTGAATGTGTATGTTTATTCTGCACTAAAAATCCTTCAACTATACGGCATTTAGTTAGGCAGCAGTGTAACGGTATCACGTACGCATAAAAGCCGCAAGGTTTGCTGTCTCGCAAAGTCAATGCCTACTTGGCAAACGACTGCCTCAGCCGCCTGTAGATGCTTTAAACTATGCCAATAAGCTGTCGTCTCTAGTCGGCTATTCCACCAACAGCTAGCGGAAACGTTTTTCAGCTTGGATTCTGCAAATATTGCCACTGCTTTACGCCGTGTCTCTTCAACGCTTGCAATGTTTGTTATTCTTGCCTCCTGCTTTAGCGTATGCTGCGCCTAGAAGCTGATACACTCCACTTGCCCTAAGTGCGCATATATGTTGATAAAAGTTTACACTAATGTGTGTGCTTTTGCGTCTGTTGAGATGAAGTGAAAATATTTGTTTGGCAAGTCCGCGAGTATGCGACCAAGATTGCCAGTCTTAATTAAAGAGCAATGCTGCCGCGGCTGTTGCAGCACAATTCCTACTCTTGTTGCTTTCACTTTATAGCCGTTTCGCTAAACTTGTTTTGCACTTCTGGATTTGCTTACAATTTTGCCTACCACTTATCGAGTTTACTTTTGTATTCGAAAAGGTATAAACTAAGTTCCACCACAAAGGTACCTGTCTCTTCAAACGAATTTCCATGTGTATGGTAGAAAATTGTATTGCACGTCCTTTCGTTTCTGACAATTTTTATACCATACCACTATTTTTCCACATAATTTTATAGGTCACTACACCTTTTGAATAATATATTTGTATTTATCTATATTCCCTCTAAATATACTGTGCTTCCGGTGACTAGGCTTTGCTAGTAGATGTTTTAAGTTATTTATTATACTCTTTCACTTACTTTTCACTTTTCATGCTTACATTTCATATTATGCGTTATTTGTACCATCCCTTCGCATTTTTCATTCAACTAACTAACTAATAAGCACTTTATCTACACCGACATGGGACGACATGTACCTAGAACGCGCATTACTGCTTTTTACTATGTTTATTATGATTATGGTTATTATTTATTATCCTCTTGCTGTTAGCTTTAGACTGCAACGCGTAGTTGCATTTGTACATCCGTACGCGTTCCCGGTTCTACATCAACTCAGATGTCTTCGTTTCGCGAATCCAATACCGCAGTATCGTAACTTCAAATGAGATTGACTCCGATTTGCGCAATAATCGCACTCTCGTTCGTACTCAAATTCCCTTCGTTTCCACATCCCCATGGCAATGTGCAAATGAGCGCACGAATACTTTACGAATGCTTAAGTTTAACAGTTAAGACCTCATCCCTATAAAGTTCAGTTTCATGCGGTGTGGATTATAATATTATATAAAAGCGGGAGATGGATTTGTGAATAATATTTAATTTTGCAGTCTATCTCACATCCAGAAAAAACAATGCTTGAGGTGAAATGGCGAACGAGTAAGGCATGTATCAAGGAATATCTTTCAGTAAAACCGTTACATTTAAATGTTATAGACCCAATTAAGATAGAAATAGGGATTACGACCATTTGGTCTGTTACATCTTGTTTGGAGTAAGTTTGAAATAAAAATACGAAGTTTCGGGACCTAATGTACTCCAATTATCGATCCTTCGATAACTTTTAACTTTTTTAAATCACAGTCTTTAAGTCAACGGGTTAATATAAAATATGTCATCAGCTTGTGCACTAAGTATTGATGAGGTTTGGATAAAAGTGGTCATATTTGCAAATCACTCTGGTAAATTCTAATCGCTATATGGTAATTTATTTAGAAGAGACTGACTACTTTGGAAGTCCCATACATTAAGAACTTTTCAAAGCTATTCTGTATTTTAGAGGTAAACAATTTTTATAACAACACGCTCATCTTATTATTTACTTGTAGATTTTACGACCCCTTAGTACTTATTCTCCCAAAATCTTAATCATTAACCTGCCACAATAATCGCACGTAAGCATAAAAAAGTTAAGAACCTATAATCTAGCGATTTCAATTCAGCTACAAAACGATTTACATACATTTTAGCTGAGGAAATTAAAAGTATGCTGCTTCCAGAAAAAATAATAGCAAACCCAAATGTTTTTAAATGTTTTTTAAAACAATGATACAACTCAAAACGAGAGAGAATTTCTCGCATCTAAAAGGGGTGAACTCATACAACCCACCCCTATGGGGTTGGAGACACCATTGCAATTCTAATAGTAAACAACGGATAGGAGAGGGAATTTTGTTCAAATGTTTTCATTGGATATGTTTTCAGAGCGTTCTACCTGTGTACCTCTGATTTATAAATACTTCTCATGATTATTCCAATGCTCACAATGATATCGTTTGTTATATTTGGCAGAGGAAAAAGCGCAACTAGTTATTCAATTCCAGCCGTGATTTACTCGTGCGTCGAGTGAATGAATTACCAAACGAATTCGCACCAAACACACTCACAACTCTATAAATTGGTTTCCAAAAATGTGTAAATTCTAAATAATTTATATACACTACAATTAATAGGTAATAGGAAAACTATCCTTTAATTTTACGAATTTAAACTATAGTCAATAAACTTCACACTTCTTTACTTTTGGCATTTAATTACAAACTGCGCTAAACAGCTGATGCTTGTCGACGAATGTCACAACAAAACATAGAGGATAATAATATACCAAAAAACGAATATCATAGAGAAGACAGAGAACGTATATCATAATATATAATATACGTTCTCTGCTTCTATAGAGACCTTCCAGAGAACGTATATAAGCTTCTCTATAGAAGCAGAGAACGTATATTATAGAGAAGGTTCAATCAGAGAACGTAAATGAATGCTTTTGTGCTTAGAGCTTTCCTTCCACAGCTTTCGGTACAATTATTAGAATATGCAGAGAACGTATAAAGTAGAGAAGGCAAAGAACGTATATACAGAGAACGTATATTATATGGAACGTATATCTGATTTTATGATTTATGATTGCAATAAACGTATAAAAATATAAGCAGAGAATGAAAATAAATTAATTTAATTTAGGAGAATGTTAATAAATTAAATTAATTTATTTACATTCTCTGCTTCTGATCATTTTCTACATTCAATGCTCAGCTCCTTAAATTTATAAACATTCTCTACTTTTGATAAGATATTATAAAATTTCTCCTTCCGAGCTAGCTGAGGTGAAATCTACTATTAAAATCTTGTTAGGTTTTGACAATTCACACGCTGGTCCGCAATTGAACCAGAGAATATAAATGAATATTCACTTACGTTCTCTGCTAAAATGTTAATTAAGATGAGGGAACATCGAAAACGCGCAAGTTCGAAAATAAAATGTCACCACACCTATCAGGGTACGCAACGAACTACACCACTTTATAAGCAAAATGTATACACATACATATGCACACATGTTCTTTGATATGCCCATAAACAAAAATTGAAATAATAAAAACGAAAGTAATTGACTTCCGACAAGAAAATATAAATAATAAGGGAAATAATATTAAAATAGAATTCAAATATCATTTCATAAAAAAGGGTTATAAAAATAAAAAAGGACTATATAAAATATGATAGGATTTGAACTTAGGTAAAATATTTGCAATAAACAAGTCTGCTATACAAGCAGCACCACAGACGATATTCGTGCTATTTTGCCTAATCTGTGAACTCAAACAGCTATTGTTGTTCATATGTCTATATGTGAATATTCTTGAAATTGCCTTCTTTCATTCGCATGTCCAAATATATTTGCATATATGTACACATATGTACATATGTATGTCCCTCAATATGTCTTTCGCAAAAAATCAAACATTCGCGCAGGTGACAAAAAAACGTAGACGCACCATCATCGGCCAATAATATTCAAGCGAGCTCGAGGCTTATTTTCTAAGTAATTCATATTACAACGACAACAAATTCATTCATAAGGAACGTGCGTCTGCTTCAAAGCAAAGTGAGCTCGTTCATAACTCTGCGCCGCGCTATCTTTTCTGTGCGCCTGGTAAACCACATTTGGTTTTCATATAGAATTCCTACCGCAAAGGCGCGAAAATAAAAATGAATGAAATTGAATTTGAATGTCTTCGGTAAAATTGAAGAAGTTCAATTTTACAATTTATTCTACCATTCCCCTCGCATTTGTATGTTGCCCACAAGCTACTTAATCACATTTGCTAAAAATCAGAAATTGAATAATTTGTCTGATGTTCACTTCAGAAAGGAGAATTGGCAACATGACCTATTAGCGAGTTTAAATAATATTTATATTTTTGCATATTATGCACTATATATGGCATTAAATTATAAAATTTATATAAAACTGCCATTCATATGAAATCTTTAACTACTTCTATATATTCTAAGCACACTGCATATAGTACTTTTATATGTTTACTTATTATCATTATTTCATAGTTTGTCGATTTAGCCCATTTTATCTGAATACGACGCTATGAAAATGCAGCCCAATCGGTAATCGCAATATTTCAAAAGAGCATAAGTCAACTTTCAATAGCAAACCACTGCAAAAAGGACAAACGAGACAACATAGCCGACCGACATTGTCGCAAAATTGTCGATTCAAACAAATTTTGTCAACTCCGCGACGATGCGCAAAATTTGGCGTCAATATGTATGCGGGCTCGTTTGTATGTATGTATGTTTGTCGACAAAGTCGTCTTTTCGTTTTTTTCAACAACACAATGTCTGCGCGAACTCGCCGTTATTTCGTTGGCTTGCCACCATACACAGAGGCGTGTCAAGTGAGGGCTCATAATATATAATATTAATATGTTGCTTAATGAGTATTGAAAAATACTAATGCATTTATGAATTATTTTCGTAATATAATATATATTATATATATATATATAAATACACATATATTCATACCTATAATCGTTTTTAAACTAAATTCGATAAATAAAATATATATCTGAAATAATTATGTGGCAGTGCGCCCCAATCCCTCTTTGCCTGCGATCGTTCAACTCGCAAAAAGCAAAAAGCGTAGACAAAAGTCATTGCTTGTGCGGGGCAAGAAGAAGCAAGCATCAGCGTACGTGTAATTAAGAATGTATGTGTGATTATCACATTTGTATAAATACGCATAATAAGGAAATATTCAATAAACCTAAACATATGAACATATTTTGCTGAAATATTTTAATTATCTCTGATGCTATTTAAGTAATTGAATTGAGATATGCTAATTAATTCCAATTAATAAAATAAAAAAATTAAATTAAATTTCAATTTTACGTATTTTACGATTCGAACGTATATGCTCGTATTCGGATTGAGCTTAACTCCTTCACGCCTACGACCTAAGCCACTATATAAATTCAAACACGGCCGCTTAGCAACTGTTTTATTGTTATTTTTTGTTCAATAAGCAATTACTCACTCAACGCACATACATAAGTTGGAAAAATTGCTTATTAAATGTTTATTTTATTATGAATTCTGGGGTTTTTACCGATAATACAGATTTTTAATTCAGAAGGCTTTTCATAATTATAAATTTGTCATATCATAGAAATTGAAAACATAAATCTAAATAGGTATGCGCAACGATTTTTCATATAGGAATATTCGTTGTGTCTATTTATAGCATTTCGCATATTGTGTGGTGTATTTTTCTTTTTCGAAGTTATATTTTTCGATGTTCCCTCATCTGGAACTACAAATTAGAACTCAAAAAGATTTCTTTTAACATTTGCTCCTTCTCTATTCATCAACATTCTCTGATGAAATCTAATGATAGCCCCGCCCACTTCCCATAACTGCTTTAAGCGGAATAAATCAATAATTAAATACGCCAGAGACAATGCATTTTATTTAAAATTTAGGTGAAATCACATCTCAGGACCTGCTCTGCCGAGTTCAACTAAAGTCGGTACATAACATTCTTCTGAAATTTTTGCAGTGCAAATGGGCGAAATTGGATTAAAACCACGCTTTCTTCCCATATAACAAAACAAAATTCCATCTGATTCTTTCACTTTCTAGTATGCAAATTAAGCACCTATGAAAGTATTGGGATAAAATTTTGCATGAATAGTGCAAAAATAGGCCACTTTATGAGCAAAAATTGTTCAAGCCCCCGGATACCGAGTATGTGGACCCCAGTACCTACATTTGACATTTTACCGAAAACACTGTTCAATGTGTGAGATATATTATTAAAATTCCGAAAGAATCCTTTCCTGATAGTAGTAAGTATATATGTCAAAAATGGGTTGAATCAGGTCAATAATTCCCTTAGCCTCCATATACCTTATATAAAGATTATTGAACTACCGGGTGACTTTGTACGGCATATATCGGTCAATATGTGAGTTATTAAATTTGGGTAAAATTGAGTGAAAACTTGACCTAGCGCCCACATACATATGTAACTAATATCAGGATTTTTGAACATTCGGCTGACTTTACTTTATATGGTTAGAGATGGTATGTGAGGTATCCTAATGACACCATGGGAGCATTTTATAAGTCTGTGGCATGTTAATAGTATGTGGTATTTGCAAAAATTGATAAAATCGAGTCAATACCACCCTTAACTCTCATATAATACTTATAATGATTTTCGTTATTCTAACAATGAGTAACAGCGAGTATTATGTGGTTTAGCTCTGAATTAGATTGGAAGTTGTCTATACCTTGGTCTAAACCTCATATCCCTAATATAATGAATTCCGGTCCTCAGGTTGACATTCAACTTAATATATAAAATTTAGCCTCTTCGGCCGAGTTAATATCACATGCATCTATAAATCTAATTCAAAAAGAAGATATAAAAAATATATAAGATATAAAGCAGGAGGCACATATGCCCTAAAACTGTTTTAAAATTGGGCGTGGTCCCGTCCTCTATTAAGTTTTATTTGCATATCTCTCAAACCATTCAAGCTATATCACCTAAATTCGCTTAGAATCAGTTAATAACATCTACCGGTAGTCTGAAAATGGATTATAACCCCGCCCTCTCTCCATATAACGATTTTGTTAAATACTACTAAAAGCGCGATAAATCTATAACTAAATGCTTAAGAGATATAAAATTTTACGCCCGAGATGGCATGAGAGGGCTTTTTAGGAGCCTGAATCAAATTTGGGCGATGGGCGTTGCACCGCTTTAAATTCCATCTGATTCTTTCATTTTCCAGTATACAAATCAAGAACCAATGAATATAACGGGATTAAACTTTACCTGAATACTGCTTTTAAAGTATGCCACTTTATGACCAAAAATTCTCTAAGTCGAACCAAAACTTTTCAAGCCCCTAGGTACTGAATACATGGACCCCAGTGCCTATAGTGATTTTTTACCGAAAATATCGATCAATGTGCGAGATATGTTATACAAATTCGCAGAGCATCCTTTTATGATAATAGTATGCCTGTGTATCAAAATTGAATTGAATCGGATCAATAATTCTCTTATTTCCCATATCCCTAATAGACAAATTTTAGAACTTCCGGCTGACTATATACCTCATATAGCGGCCAATATGTAAGTTAGCTTAATTAAATTGAGTACGCGTGTTTTTCTCCTAACAGTACATCTACCCTAGCCCTTGTTATGTCTTGAGCCTTGGTCTTTTGGTTGACGTTTTACACA